ACATGTACCTATATTTGCATGTCTGTATGTATGTATGTGTGTATGTATGTATGTATATATGCCTTGGTGTATACGAGTGCGCAAACATGCATGCATACATGTATATGTCTGTATGTATGTATGTTTGTATGTGTTTATTCTTGCGTGCATGTATATAAGTATATATGCATGTGTTTCTGCATGTATCGATATATGTGTATGCGTGTATGCATGTATGCATACATGCATGCATGCATGTATGCGTGCATACATGTACGCATGCATGCATGCATGTATGCATGCATGTCTTGTCTGTCTGTCTGTCTGCCTTTCTGTCTGCCTGTGTGCATGAATGTGTGCATGTATGTCTATACGTTTGTATGTACGTATGTATGTACGTCTGTATGTATGTTTGTATGTGCGTGTGTGCATGTTTGCATGTATGTATGCATGCATGCATGCATGCATGCATGTATTTATGTAGGTAGTTACGTATGTACGTATGTCTGCGTGTATGCATGCCTGTCTGTGAGTCTGTCTGCCTGCCTGTCTATCTATGTGTATGTACCTATGTATGTATGTATGTATGTATGTATGTATGTATGTATGTATGTATGTATGTATGTAGTCATTTATAGAGAGACAATCTGGGATACATAGAGGGATGCACATACCCTTCTACAGATATATACACGCAAATACACATATTCCCCAATCAGAGCTTGCCTCTTTATGGTTAGGTGAGGTATGGCGCCGGTTTCGTATGGTCCTAGTGGATTCGTATGGTTAGGTGAGGTATGGCGCCGGTTTCGGCGGCACGCCCGGGCCGCCCGGGTGCCCGCGTGTTCGGGGGCCCGGGGGTGCCCTGGTGCCCGGGTGCCCGGGTGCCCGGGTGCCCAGGTGCCTGGTAGCTCTATGGCCCCATAGCCTTACAGCCCTATAGTAGTCCCATAGCCCTATAGCCTAATAGCCCTATATATAGCCCTATCTCCCTATAACCCTATAGCCCACTAGCCATATAGCCTTATAGCCCTATAGCCAACTAGCCTCATAGCCCTACAGCCCTCAAAACATTTTGACTGGCTCCTCTCGGTTATCATACATATGTATACACACATTTATGTGCAGGTATTCTCATATACACACATAGGTATACATACATGTATACATATAAATATGAACATGCATATGTATACGCATGTGAAAGTATGCATGCATGTATACATGTAAATATGCATGTATATGTATATACATATGTATATGTAGTTACAGGCAAATCTGTATATATATGCATTTATGCATATATGTATATATTTAGATGCACATGTTTTTTTTTGCATATGTATTTATGTATGTACATGTGAATACACACGAATATGTAGGTGTTGATGTATACGTAAATGTACATGTGCATACATATATATATATATATGTATATATGCATATGCATCGATATTTATATGTTTATGCATTTGTATAGGTATACGTGTATGTTTGTATATGTATATGTACATGTATATGTATATGTATACGCAAATGTGTACGTCTTTGCATATGTTTATGTATATGAATATGTGTATGTATATGCCTATATGTTTATAGAGGTTTATGCGTATGTGTATATATAGACATATAGTATATATATATATATATTATATATATATATATATATATATATATATATTAAAATATAAACATATATGTATGTGTACACATACATTTATACACATAACATACATATATCCATATCCATATCCCTGCGCACGAGGCGGGGGGGCCCGGGAGGGGGCCCCCAACGGTGCCGGGCCGGGCCGCATTGGGGTGCTGGGCCGCCCGCGACGCCCCCGGACGGCCCAAGACAGCCCCAACACAGCTGAGAAGTGCCGCGAGAGGCCTCCAAGAGGCCTACAGTCGCGGAAATATCGTTCTAACACGCCCAAGAAGGCTTCCAACACGGCCCAAGGGGCCCCCTGAGAGCATTCTCGAATGAGCCCCAAGAAACTAAAATCATTTTAGCGTTTCTGCCTGTTCGTCTTCTCGACTTTCTATGACGGTCCAGGAAACCAGCAAATCGTCCAAACAGGCTTCCACCAGGGCGCTGAGACGGCCTAGGGCCGCCCCCAGAAGGCCCAAGACAGCTCCAACACTGCAGAAAAGAAGAGGCTTCCAAGAGGCCCCGAAACGGGGACATATCGCTCGAACACCGCCAAGATGGCCTCCAGATGGCCCACAAGGCTTCCAAACCGGCCCAAGGGGTCCCCAAGAGCACTCCCAAAAGAACCCCAAGAAGCCCAAAGCATAGATTTTCCGACGGTTTTGGGCGCAGTTCCACGTTTCTGCCTGTTCCGCTTCCCGACGCCCCAAGCTGGTCCCGGACGCCCAAATATCGCCCCAACAGGCCCCCACGAGAGTGCCGAGACGGCCCAGGGCCGCCCCCAGACGGCCCAAGACAGCCCCAACACAGCTGAAAAGGGCCGCGACAGGCCTCCAAGAGAGTTGCGGTCACCGAGCTATCGCCCTACCACGCCCAAGATGGCCTCTGGATGGCCCAACTAGGCTTCCAACACTGCCCAGGGGGGCCCCCAAGAGCACACCAAAAAGGGCCCCAAGTTCAGAATCATTGATTTCCTTGTGCTTTTTGTGCAGTTCAGCGTTTCTGCCTGTTCGGCTTCCCGACGCTCCAAGACGGTCCAGGGCGCCGGAGATGGTCCGAGCAGGCTTCCACCGGGCCGCCGAGGGGGCCCAGGGCCGCTCTCTCAGACGGCCCAAGACACGCCAACACTGCCGGCAAGGGCCGCCAGAGGCCTCCAGGAGGCTCCGACACGCGGGCACGTCGCTCGAGGCTCGAACACGCCCAAGAGGGCCTCCAGAGGGCCCACAAGGCTGCCAACACGGCCCACGGGGCCCGCCCAAGAGCTTTCCGCCAAAATCCTTGATTTCGTCCAGGACAATTTGTCCTAAGGTTTCTGGGCGCGAGGCGGAGGGGCCCCAGAGGGGGCCCTTGACGCTCCACGGGGGGACGGCCGCCAAGGGCGCCCCCAGACGGCCCAAGACAGCCCCTGCACAGATGAAGAGGGCTGCAAGGGGCTTCCAAGAGGCCTACGGTCGCTGAAAAATTGATCCAACACGCCCAAGGTGGCCTCTGGATGGCCCACAAGGCTTCCAACACGGCCCAAGAAGTTCTGCCTGTTCGGCTTCCCCCGACGCTCCAAGACGGTCCAGGATGTGCAAAGTTCGTTCAAACAGGCTTCCACGAGGGCGCCGAGACGGCCCAGGGCCGCCCCCAGACGGCCCAAGACAGCCCCAACACAGCTGAAAAGGGCCGCGAGAGGCTTCCAAGAGGGCTACAGTCACTGAAATATCACCCTAATGCGCTCAAGATGGCTTCCAGATGGCGCACAAGACTTCCAACACGGCCCAAGGGGTCCCCAAGAGCACTCCGAAAAAGGCCCCAAGAAACCGAAATCCTTGATGTTCCTTATGCTTTTTGTGCGTTTTAGCGATTGTGCCTGTTCCGCTTCCCGACGCTCCAAGACGGTCCCGGAGACTTACATGTTGCCCCAACAGGCCTTACGAAGACGCCGAGACGGCCCAGGGCCGGCCCCAGACGGCCCCCAAATGCCCCAGCACTGCTGACAAGGGCCGCAGGATGCCTCCAAGAGGCCCCGAAACGCGGACATATCGCTCGAACACGCCCAAGATGGCCTCCAGATGGCCCACAAGGCTTCAACATGGCCCATAAGGCATCTCCCGCACAAGAGACGTCTCTGCTGACAGATCTACCAGCCCCGCGGGCTCTGGGCGGTCTGCGCTGCACTTATCCCTCTCCTCGCCCTCTTCCCTTCCGCCCCCACCCGGACTTCTGCCTCTGCCCCCCCCTTTGCCCCCGCCCTCGGCGGCACCTTCGCCCTCACCGCAACATTAGGCGCTCGGCCCCGCGCCTCTGCGCCCTCTCGGCCTCCCCCTCTCTCCCCTTCCACTGGCAAGCCTTCTTGGACTGTTTGATGCTCCTCCGTCTCCTCTGTTGATGCTGCTTGCACCTTCCTCTTCGGAAGTGCGCGTGGAAGCCACCACCCATGTCCTACGGAGATAGGGCAACAGCTTGCTCATGTAGTCAAGACGCTGGAATAAGGAACAGTTTGGGTTCGGAAGGGGCTTGCTGTTCTTTATGTCCTTCTGTGGCTGTTCCTCTTACCCTCCTCGTGCACCCGGGCGCTGTTGGTGCAAAACAGAGGCTTCGCTCCTTCTGTAGCGCTCCTCATTTCAGCAGCCCGGCTGTATGGCGCCTGGCCCTTCCCGCTCGGAGGTTGGCCAAGGTGCCCCTAGCCCAAGGTGTCCCCAGCTTTCCGCTCCGTTTTGGAGCCCCCGGGGCCCTCTGGGACTGGGTGGGGTGCTCTGGAGGCCCTCTGGGACTGGGTGGGGTTAACTCGAGGCCCTGGGGGCCTCCTTGGAAATCCTGGGGGGACCTTGGGCCAGTGGGCATTTCTGGCAGCGCCCTGGGCCGGGCACCCGCGCCGGAAGCCCTCCGCCCGCCCTCTCCGCTGGGGACCGCCCCAGCCGCACCGGAGCAGGCGCACAGGGCGGCCTCGCCGCCGTGCCCTGCCGCCGAGCGTCTCCTGCCGCCGGTCTTGGATCCTCGATGGGTTGCTCCTCCTCCTCCTCCTCGTCCTCGTCCTCGTCCTCCTCCTCCTCCTCCTCCTCCTCCTCCTCCTCCTCCTCCTCCTCCTCCTCCTCCCCTCCTCCCCCCTCTCCCGTCCTCCTCCTCCTCCTCCTCCTCCTCCTCCTCCTCCTCCTCCTCCTCCTCCTCTCTGCCTCCTCCTCCTCGTCCTCCTCCTCCTCCTTCTCCTCCTCCCGAGCACGACTGGTGCTTCTCAGGGTATTCCCAGGGTATTCCTCCTCCTCCTCCTCCTCCTCCCCTCCTCCTCCTCCTCCTCCTCCTCCTCCTCCTCCTCCGCCTCCTCCTCCTCCTCCTCCTCCTCCTCCTCGATCCTCGATGGGCTCCTCTTGGCCCTTGGCCCCAGGCCTCGGCGGTTCCCTCCCTGGTGCTGCACTTCGTCTGCCACTCCCTGGGCGGCGTCGTGCTCCGGGCGGCGCTGCCGGGCATCGTCGGCGGGCTGGACGGCGACCCGCGGGTGTCCTACGGTCCCTGGGGGGATGGGGAAGCGCGCGATGCCCGCTCGGCCACGCGCAGAGGGGGTTAGGTGCTCCTGAGACGGCGCGGGCCTCGTCTACAGATGTAGGGCCGGCGCCTTTTAAGAAGCAGCCTCCTTCTCAGAAGACTTCCCCCCTTCCCCTACCCTCTTGTGCGCGCCGCCAACTTCCTCCTCCTCCTCCTCCTCCTCTTCCTCCTCCTCGTCCTTCTTCCCGCAGAGGGCATCTGTGCGGTAGGCTCGTGTCATGTCGACGCGGCGATGGCCCCGACGCGGGCATCCAGTGCCGAACTCCGTCCGTGTCCCAGAAGCGGTCAATATGGAGCGATCCAGACATCGAGAAGCCGCACGATCCACTCGGTGTCAGAAACCAGAGCCTGGGTCGTCACGACAGGGACCCGCCGTACTGTCAACCCGCATAGTAAGGATGCGCAACTTTCCAAGGTGACCTGTACATCCTTTCCCTTCGGCCCATCCTTGGCCGTTTTCGCTGGCCGCGCCACGCTCGCAAAGCGTCGACATGGCCTTCCAAGGCCCTTGCATCCTCATCGTGCGTTCTTATCATACGGGTTGATTGTACACAGGGGAACGAACAATGACATAAGCATAACAAACACGGAGGTCCGCGCAAATTTCTCGGATCTGCGCTGGGCCCTCCCTGGCGCGCGTAGCGCGCCAGGGGCGGCGCCGGAGGCGCCGCCAGGGAGGTCCATCCTGTGCCGGTGGCGGGGCACACTTCCTCTGCTGGCCTCGGCCCTCGGGGGCGTGTGCACCATGCCAGGGCCAAGGGTGGCCCTGGCTACAGTGCCGTTTTTAATAATGCTCCGCGTGTGGATCATGTGTTGAAAATGCAGGGATTCAGTATTAAAAACAACGATGAGTTCATGCATAAATTCACTAAATTAATCTGGTATAAAAAATCAGTTTTTTCTAAACATCCTATGCTTTAAAAACTGCCCTGTAGGCGCAGCGGTGGTGCATGAGCGTCTCCTGCGTGCCTCCGCTCCCGGAAGCGCGCCCGTGCCGACGGTCCCAGGACGTGCTGGACGTGCGGGGGGTGCTGTCGCTGCTGCTGGTGCCGCTGCTGCCGCTGCTGCTGCCGCTGCCGCTGCCGCTGCTTCTGCTGCTGCTGCTGCTGCTGCTGCTGCTGCTGCTGCTGCTCTCTCTGTCGTCTTGATTTCTCATCTGTTCTTCTTCACTTTCGCCCATCCGCTGGCGGAGGTATCGGCCGAGCTCCAGCATCTTGGGGATGGTGGGGTCGACGCTTCGGGGGAGCGCGCCGAGCTTGGCCAGGCTCGGGGCCCCAGAGGTGCCCCAAGCCCCCTGGTGCTCCCCGCTCTCGCTGCTCCGAACGCTGCCGACGTGGAGAACTTGTATTCCCGCGCGCATCTGCGATTGGGAAGGCCTCTCAGCCGGTGCCGCTGACCCTCAGCCTGCAGGGGGACGGCGACGGCGGCGGCGGCGGCGGCGGCGGCGGCGGCGGCAGCAGCGGCGGCGGCAGCAGCAGCGACGGCGACGCTGACGCTCTGGAGCCCCTCTTGCGGCTCTCTATTGGGAGCCTCTTGGGCTCTCTTGGGGCTCGGGGCCGGGGCCGCGGCGGGGGCCGGGGCCGGGGCTAAGGACCGGGGCCGGGGCGCATCTGCGATTTCAGCAGGCGGACCCTGCGCCGACTTCCGACCGGCGGGGGCCCCGCCCGCCGGGCAGGGCGGCCCTCGGCCTCGCCGCGTCCTCCCCCGCCGGGCCCGCGGCCCGCCGTGCCCTCTGGGAGGAGACCGCAGCTCGCCCTCCAGCGGCCGATGTGCAGGGCACGGGGCCTCCTCCTGCTTTTCTTCCTCCTGTTCCTCCTCCTCCTCCTCCTCCTGCTCCTGCTCCTGCTCCTGCTCCTGCTCCTCCTGCTCCTCTCCTCCTCCTCCTCCTCCTCCTCCTCCTCCTCCTCCTCCTCCTCCTCCTCCTCCCCCTCCTCCTCCTGCTCCTGCTCCTGCTCCTGCTCCTCCTCCTCCTCCTCCTCCTCCTCCTGGAGTCTCCTCCCCAGCTGCCCGCAGGCGTCCCGCAGGCGGGCGCGGCGCGACGCACTGTGCGTCGCGGCTCGCCGGCGCGCGGGACGGGGCGGCGCGAGCGAGGGTTGGCCTTCCGAGAAGGCGAAGATCTGCCTGTGAGAGGACACGGCCGACCTGTAAGCTCAGGGGGGCTTCCTGGGTGCCCTCCGCTCCCTGGAGGCCCTCCAGGGGGCCTTCCGAGAGGCCCCCCCCCCCCCCGAGCCCTTCCTGGGCGGCCGGCCCTCCCCACCCTCCTCCCCTCCGGAGATCCAGCGCATGGAAAAAACGAGACTCGGGCTTCTCGCAGTTCTCGGCCTCCAGGGGCTCTCCCTGGGCCCCGGGCCCGTCAGGACACGATTTTTTGATTCGCGGGTCGAGAGCGCACCTCTTCTGGTCGAAGCTGAGCGGGCCGCGCGAAGCTTGAATTACCCAGAGATGGGGGAGGCAAAAGGGGGGCGCCGCCTCAGAACGAGGCCGGGCGGGCCCGTCAGAACACGACTCAGAAGGAAGAGCCGGTCTTGGGAAAGGGGCCGAGACTTCCAGGGGCCGCGTATGGCAAAACTCACGACGTCGGATCAAAATTCACGTCAAAACACGACTCAGAATGAAGCTCCCGGTCTTGGGAGAGGGGCCGAGACTTGCAGGGACCGCGCATGGCAAAAGTCACGACGTCGGATCTTTGGGCCCACGCGCACCTTGTGCCAAGTGCTGCGGTCCTGTGAGAGAGGTGCGAGCCCGAGCCCTCGGCAGGACCGCCGAGGCGAGGGGGCCACAGGCGAACCCTACCCCTACCCCCCACGATTTCTGAGGGGTGTAGGGGTAGTGTTCGCATGTGGCCCCCCTATCTTGGGAAAGGGGTCGAGACTTCCAGGGACCGCGCATGGCAAAAGTCACGACGTCGGATCTCGGGGCCCACACGCACCCGTGCCAAGTGCTGCGGTCCTGAGAGAGAGGTGCGAGCCCGAGCCCTCGGCAGGACCGCCAAGACTAGGGGACCACATGCGAACCCTACCCCTATCAGGAGGGGAAAAAGCACACAGACACAATTTCTGCGGGGGAGGGCGGGGTTCACTTCCTTCGGGAGCTCCCGAGCGAGGTGAACCCCACCCTCCCCCTCAGAAGTCGTGCGGGGTAGGGGTAGGGTTCGCATGTGGCCCCCTGAAGACGACGGCCGAGGCCGACTCCGAAGACGACTTCTTTGAAGGGGTGGCCTCTCGCGGTTCTCGACGCGGGGACGGAGCCCGTCTCGGGGGTCGGCCAACGTCCCTTCGATGGCCCCCCCCTGGACTCTCTCTCTCTCTCTCTCGGCGGCCAGCCCGGGGGGAAGTCGGAGGGGGCGGGCCTTCTCAGAGGACGTTTTCCGACCTTCCCCAAAGGCACAGAAGCCTTCTCAGAAGGCCCAGGGGGCTTCCGAGAAGCCCCACCGCTTTCTGAGGAGGAGGAGGAGGAGTTGCGAGAGGAGGCCGTGAGAGAGGAATGGAAGTGGCAGGAAGAGGACGCCTCGAGCACGTTTTGGAGGAGAGTGAGGAGAAGAATGACGATTCGGAGGACATCTTCGGGGCGCTCCCACGCGGGGTTCCAGAGGACCACCGTCTCTGAAACTTCACGGGGCCTTCTTACGAGTGTCCTTCACCACGGCCTGCGAGGTCAGATGCCCTCCCTGAGCACTCCTCCGCCTCCACCTCCTCTTCCTACTCTTCACCATTCTCGCTGTCGTGGATTCTCATCCCCCTCTCCCTCATCTCTGCTCTCTCCGCCTCCCCCTCTCGCGTCCTCCTTCTGCTCCTCATGCATCCCCTCCCTCATTCCACTCGTCCTCAACGTCCTGCTCCTCCCTTTTGTTTTCCTCTTTTTTCCTGCTTTCCTGCTGCTGCTTCTCCTTTCTCCTGTCTCCTTATATATTCTCCTCTTTCATCCACGTCCTCATTCCTCCTCTTCTTCCTTCTCCTCATTCCTCTCCTGTAGATCCTGCATGTCCTTCTCCTCCTGCTCCTTCTCCCCTTCCTCCTCCTTCTCTCCTCCTCCTCCTCCTCCTCCTCCTCCTCCTCCTTTCCTCCTCCCTCCTCCTCCTCCTCCTCCTTAGCTGCTCGAGGGAATCCCTGCACCAGCGCAGCCTCCACTCTCTTTCGTACCTTTTACCTCCTCCCTGGCACACCACCCGCCAGGATCAGCACGCCTGGCGGACGCGAGCCTGGGCGCGATGTGCGCCCGCTAGGCCGGCGGATGGCGGCGGCGGCGAGACAGCTGGCACAGCTTCGGATTGTGCTGTACAATCCACTCTCAGTATTGGAACCGCAGAGACTGGTGGATATATGGAGATCGGTACGAGCAGACATTGTACTCCTTCCTGGGACGCGGATGAGGGCCCAACAGGGCCATGCGGTGACACGGATGCAACTGGGAGGGGGGGCTTTCGCGTTGAATGCAGGATGGAGTTCAGGACCCTTCTCGAACAGATCGGCGGGATGTACAATGCTGGTGGGAAACATGTTCAGGGACAAACACATCAGGAGCATCGACACCCCCCCAGAGGCTGCACAAGGTAGAGGCCTGGCGGTTCGTCTTCGGAATCGTAGCATCGACCTGAGCATTGTGCTGATATACGTCCCACCCATCGGGGACGCCTCGGCGAAGAAGCGGAAGGCCCTGGAGAAGGGGTCCACACAGATCATCAGATGGGGAATCCAGCAGGTTCAGAGAGCACCCAACAGGTCCACTCCAATCGTCGCGGGGGACTTCAATACCCAGATGGGCCTCAGAGGGGGCTCAAGAACATTCTCGCCTTCGGTATCGGCGTCTTGGTGGGAACAGGAGCGGCCCTTAGCGGGCCCGTACAACATGGGGGAGCAGAACGTGATCGGCAACCTGATCCAGGATGAATTGTTGGCCCCTCTGGAGATGTTTGATGCTGTTACCTCGGATAGACGGGGGGGGCCGACATACTATTCACACAGTGGCCACACGTCCACCATCGACCACATTTTCATACCACAGGGGCTCAGAGACCAAGTATCAGCATGTAAGGTACTATGGAACCCTGCAAAGCGCCTACAGTTGATCCCGTCCCAGAACCCGAGAGACCACGTCCCGATCTTGCTGCAGATGACCATTAGGAAACAGTACGAAACAGCGGCGGCCAGAGATGAACGGTGGGATCGACACAAACTGTCGGCAGCGGTCCAGCGCGGAGTGGAAAGGCCGGAGTTCATGGAGGACCTAGAGAAGGCCATGCAGGAGCACGAAGACGAAATGCAACGACGTCTACAAAGGGGTGAGCTGGACCGAGCATGGCAGGGATGGATGGAGGTTGTTCGCAAGACAGGACTCGAGCACTTCGCCCAGAAGAAAAAGGAGGCCGACCCAGCAGTATCGGCACTGAGATCACGACGACTGGAGCTGGTCAAAGCACGGAGTGAACTTCGAGTTGAACTACGTGGGGTGGGTGAAGAGCAGGGAATACGACGATGGACGGCACGGCAGCACACCACTACAGATTCGGATCATTTGAATCGAGTATGTGAGATTGACACAAGCGGAGTGACGACAGATGGAGATGACGGGACTGCTGCAGGATCACAGATGCCAATGAGGAGTGTTTCGCCTACGAGGATTCTATTGGAGGATTTGGAAGCAAAGGCCGACGCGATCAAGGAGGAGCTGAGAGAGATAAAAAAGATACTACGACAAGAGAGTCGACAAGCTTGGCATGAGTCACGAAGAAGATTGGAGGCAGAGATTGCAGATGCACATAATAAACATAAGCACGCTGATGTACATCGACTGATATTTCTACTCGCAGCACAGCACGGGGGACCTCGGAAACGAAAGTATAATTTACCATCGACATTTGAGAGCAGAAATGAATGGCAGACACAGCTGAGCCTACCAGCAGTTGGCGGTGGGATGGACGCAGTTGAATTAGATGTTGAGAGACTGATTAGTTTTTTTAGTACGCAATCGCCAGCGGTTTCAACGGATGATGAAGAACTCGAGCGAACCGAGCTCCAGGGGCGACAGGATTTTCAGGCCACAGTACGACGCCTTCGACGAAGTGCCAAACGACGAGCTGCCCCCCCGTGGAGCCTCCCGCTGGAACTGCACCTGATGGCCGCAGACCCCAAGTACCTCTCAGTGGGACCTCAGGAGTACTTAGGGCTTGGAGCTACCCCAATAGCACAGACGGAATCCACGACCTCAGCTCGACTCCTCGAGGATCTTCATATTTTATGTAGGAGAATGAAGCGTACACCCATACTGGGGAATCTGGCATGGGGGGTATCGATCGCGAAGCACAACGGAAAGGTGGGGACGCTGGGTAAACGTCTGATTAATGTGATGTGTCCATACTGGAAATGCTTCTACGGGGGACTGTTGAAGCACAACTTGTACAAAAAAGGGGTCCACTGGCCGGCGGAGTTTCATGGTTTCCTGCCCCGACGTAGGAGAGAGGACGCGATCGCAGTGCAGATGTGCATGGGCCATTTCTATCGCATCCATCGCATTGCACACTTGAATCACTTGCATGATATGTCGAATGCCTTTGCCTCCACGACGGCGCGTGCGAGGACGGAGGCGATCAATGAGCTCTTCACCCCTCCCGACGCAGCGTTGATGCATTCCAGATCCCAGACCTCAGGAATCGTGATGATCTTCGAGACGGGGGGTACACAGCCTTGGCAGGATCCCAGAAACCTAGCCGTTCGACACCAACGAGGGGGTCTTATGGGGTCTAGTGAGGAGCCCGTGGTGTTCGCGAAGGTAATGGAGAACCCTATGAGATCCTGGATCGACGAACGGGCGGTGAATGAGACGGCCACGCACCTGAGGTGCGGCATATATAATTCTTTGTGCTGTGGGGCGACGACCGTGTACGCTGACGATATATTCGATAAGATGCCGATCGACGATACGACACAGACCAAGATCGAAGAGAAACTAAAACACAGCGATGACGTGCTCGATGGGGTATTGGGGGCAAAGGGTCTTATTCAGAACTATAATAAGCGAGAAACCGTACCTTGCCTTCGCAGTCATCAAGCGAACCGAGACTTCTCGGCCGAGTTTAGGATGGGCAAGGCACGAGCTAGAGCTAGATACCTGGGCTGCCGCTACGCCTGGAATCTATCGAGCATGGAGGAGTTTCGCTATCGCTGCGCAGCCGTCCACGCTGGGTGGGGGAAGCTTGGTAAGTTCTGGACCAGCCGTACTAGTAAGTCCCTGAAGATACTGGCCTTTAGGGGCCACGTGGTGGAAGCAGCCTTATCAGCGAACGAACCCTTCGTGTTCCCGAGGGCCCAGACCCAGCAGCTGGACGGGATTATAACTAAGTACCTTCGTGTTTTGGAGCGTGGCAAAGCCACGGACTGGACAGGCGAGCACCCGCACTCGTCATCGAATTCGACGCTTAGGCAGAGGTGGCGCCTGATACCGATCCGCTTCGAGCAGGCGGCCAGACGCTTCGGATGGGTGCAGCAGATGGCCAGGGACGCCCTCGCGCACCAGCAGGTGATCGCCTCGATTTGGGGGCATCTCGAAAACAGACCTCCCTCGCTTGATGATGACGGGCATCTCCGCACGTGTGCGCCCCCATTGGCTTTCCAGATAGAGCGAGACTTCTGGGCGTTTGCGGGTATTAGCGGTACTGAGGACTTCTTCGAGGCTTGGGAACGATGGGATTTCTCTTGGAGGGCTCTATTCCTGGAAGAAGAAGTTCGGGAGGTGTGGCTGAAAGTTGACCCCAAGATCTTGAAGGCCTCAATTTTGCATGAGGGGGAAGCACGATTTCGGAGCCGGCTCAGGGGCCCTGCGAGGGCCTTCGAACAGGAGGGGGATAATGAGGAGCCCACGACATATATATGTAACCTGAAGGACTCCCAGGGGAATATGTGCCTACAGGAGTTTGAGTCTAGAGGAGGCCTACTAGCGCATCAATCCAGATCCGTTGGAGGCGAGCATGGTAAGTTGAACCCCTTGTTCTCGACTGTCTTGACAAACGTGTGTCCATGGTGCCGTACCGCGTTCTCGTCCAAAGATAGTGCTCGTCAACACGTTCGTACCGCATGGTTGACCAACAGATGTAGACTCAATCGTACTGCTTTCGACTGGGATCTAATTATACCCAAATCTCTGCAGTGCCCAATGTGTGAGCATGACTTCGACACACTCGCAGAATACCATGATCACGCCGTGGAATATCACCTCCCCCCACCTCCTCTTGTGGTTCAGCCTCGTGTGCGTAGGGAGCAGCGCACCGAACGAGCGGGCGTTCCCAGCCATGGCACTGGTGCTGGCGAGCGGCACCGACAGCAAGAAGGAGCCCGAGTTCCAGCGAGCGGTCAGGCGCCGCGACGAGGGGAATGGCGACCAGAAGGCGCAGAAGACCACCGCAGGCGTCAATGGCCACAACAAAGGGCTGTACGTGCTGATGATGAAAATGCTGCTATCGCTCGCCCAGAGCCGTCGGAACATCGAGGGGGTGCTGTTCGACGTGCTGATCGTACCAGCCGAGCTCCCCGAGGTGCTGAAGATGCAGGAGCAGGGCTCGGCCTACAACACCCAGGTCCAGGCAAAGGGCAAGGGCCACGGGCTCGGCGCCCCCCACCTGTTCGTGTTCGGGGGTCTATTGGAGGCGCTACTGCTGCGCCAACAGAGCATCGGCAAAGTGAACTTCGAGAAGCTGACCGAGTTCAAGGCTCGGCTCCAGACACTAGACTACGAAGGAAAGATGGACATCATCCGCTTCACCAAAGTAGACAGGTGCTACGACCAGGGCAAGCGCAGGATCACGCTGTGCCTCCAGGAGGGCCGCAAGGAGGTGATCAGCGCCCTCCAGCAGCTGGGCGCGGAGCTGAAATCGGGCAGAGCGCCGGCGAAGAGAGTTGCAGGAGTGGCTGGAGGTCTTTCTGCAGTAGCCGAGCATGCACGGCAGACCACTACACTTTCGGATCATCTCGAATCGAGTATGCCTGAGATTGACACAAGTCTTGTGACGGCGGAGGGAGATTCGAGGATGACCACATCACAGGCGGGAAGAACGTCAGCGACTGAGCCGCCCCACAGTCCCCGACCGACTGTGCACGAGCGCCAGCCGCAGGCAGTGCAATCGGACACGGAGAGGAGCCCGACGGGGGAGAGTGTCAGAGAAGCTCGGGGCCGCTCGGGATCTCAGATGCCAAGGAGAACGGCTTCGCCTTGGAGGGTGTCTTCGGGGTCCACGGGATCACAGATGCCAATGAGGAGAGTTTCGACGATGGGGAATTCATCTGGGCCGAGGGGATCACAGATGCCAATGAGGAGGGTTTCGCCTTGGAGAGTTTCATCGGGGTCCACGGGATCACAGATGCCAATGAGGACGGTTTCTTCGGGGACGTCGGGATCACAGATGCCAGGGAAGAGGGTTTCGCCTTCGAGGGTGTCTTCGGGGTCGAGGGGATCACAGATGCCAATGAGGAGTGTTTCGAACCCACCCTTTTTGGAAAATATGAACAGAGACGCATCGATCTCGGAGAGCACGGAGGTGCGTAGATATGTGATGAGACATGGAGGGGATGAACCTGAAGGAGGAGTGGAGGTAGCACGATATCTGAAGGCTTTAGGAGTAGAGGAAGGCACCGCACGCTGGCAAGCGCTAAGTAGGAGCAGGCATGTCTTGGCAATGGTACGTAGAGAGTAGTTGTGCAGTGGAGTCCGCTGGCCTAGACTCGGGTAACTCGTGCTCGGGTTTAGTGCCTCGGGCGGTGCACCAGGTTTCGGTGCAGCCTTGGGGCCAGCGTCCCCAGGCGTTTTGGATCCTCAATATGAGGATAGTCTCTGGGCCTCTGAATGTCTAGTTTTATAGACGAACTTGGCCCCCACGGAGTGTTTCTTTCTTTCTTCCTCCTCCTCCTTCTCCTCCTCCTCCTCGTCTTTCTCTTCCTCCTTCTCCTCTTTTTCCTCTCCCTCTCGTCGGCGGCATGCTTCCAAGGTCAGATACTGACTCTGAACACTCCCCACCTGGGCGTCCACACCGCGAGCTGGCTCATGTTCTGGAAGAACCTGAGCCTGCTGGTCCCGCCCGCCCTGTTCCGGCAGGTCCACCAGCTGACGCTGCAGGACCGCAGCTGAGGTGGAGGCGGACGGTGAGGAGGAGGAGGACGATGGGTGAGGCAGCGAAGGAGGAGAGGAGTGATGATGGTGATGGTGATGATGCTGGTGGTGATGAGGATGCTGGTGCTGGTGATGATGATGATGATGATGATGATGATGATGATGATGATGTTGATGTTGATGTTGATGATGATGGTGATGATGATGATGATGGTGAGGATGATGGTGAGGGTGATGATGATGATGATGCTGATGGTGAGGGTGATGGTGACGGCGATGATGAGGCTGATCAGGATGATGATGAGGCTGCTGCTGATGATGCTGATGATGATGATGATGATGCTGATGCTGATGCTGATGCTGCTGCTGATGCTGCTGCTGCTGCTGATGATGATGATGAGGATGATGATGAGGTGGGGGAGGAGTGTTATAGTTCTTGTTTGTATATTTGTAGGATCTTTTTGTATTTGCATAGCATAACTGCACATGTTGTCTCATGTCTGTGTTTGTGTCCATTGGCTCTGATCAGCAACTGCATGCTTGTATGCCGTCACGCTTCTTCTCTGGTATCCAACATTAATTGGCGAATTGGGCTTCAACGGACATTCCATCAACGTTGACGACGCCGCAATCACCATGAAGATTGGCGTCGAAACCGTATAAGTTGCTGGTACCTCTGACAATGATCTAAACCTTGTATGGTCGAACATGGATTGGAACACGTGGGATGTGCTGAACAACGACGAGGGTTTCAGAGCTGTGCGTGACAGGTGCCAGCAGTCATTACAGCGAGCCGTGGACAAGGGATAGGGCAAAGGAAAACCTGCCCGGCAGGACCGCACCAGTCAATCTGGTGAACCTGGTTTCAAGCCAGTGAAGCGGAGTCCCCCAATTGGGATACTATTTTCGTTTTTGGTTAGTGTCATGCGTGACGCGCGTGTGGGCGAGGGGAAGCTGCGCGAGTTCCTGCACTACAGCCTCTGGAACATATCTCTTGACGCGACATCAAAGCCCGCAGAACAACCGGAAGACGATTGCATGTTTTTGCGCCCGTGCCACAGGCATGCTGCTACACCCCAGCCACATATATGCTGTTGCGCCCCTCCCCCTCCCCCGTAGAACATAGCAGGCGTGATTCCGAGTGCAGTTGCAGTGGAGAGGGCCTGACCAGCTGGACCCCGAATGTGCGCGTCACGATCACCAACCCCTTGTTATCATGTGCTTCTTCAAGCTTTGGCCATCGAGTGCGATATGCCTTGGGGGTG